AGACATGCTCACTGGAGGCCAACTTGGTTCTGCATCCTAATGTGAATTCTGCAAGGCAGCTGAATTCTTCTCCAAACCCAAACAATCACGCATCCTCTGTAGTCCACATTTTGTACCGCTTCCTTGTATGAGAGTGGTTAGGTTAATTATCAGTCATTCTTGCGGTGTAACTTTTTAAAGTATACCTTCAGAAACTCTTAACAGCAACTTTAAAAAGTAAATATTTTTAAGAGCAGTTGGAATAAATGTATTTTTTGCTTTTCATGTGCCTTTGTGTTTGCTTGGTTTTAGAAATAAAATTCTGGTACAAAGTTTGATAGAAAATTTATATACACAGTACATTGCTTTTTTAAAGGAAGAGTTAGCATGACACTTAACTGCTGAAATAACCTAGAATCAAGTAACTAGAGTTGTACAAATGATATCCCACTTAGTGTAAAAGGTCGGCTGCCTTCTGTAGAGAACAAAGTACAAAGGTTATGTATGTGGCTTCTTCTACACCTGGCTGTGTTATTCAGGACGGGCTGGCTGAAAAGCCACTGTTTGAGGGTGTGTGTGAGGGGTTTTTGTTGGTTGGGTCTGAAAGAGCCCTGCTGTTCAGTGCTTTCATTGTGACATGAAATGCCTACTTGTTCTTTTCTATGTAAGTAAGAAAGACTCAAACTGTCTAGACTGGCAGAACGAATACTTGACAGATTAGTATCTGAATATCTTGGGGTTGAAACTGATAACATTCTTGTGCAAAGCATGAGGTCATATTTAGTGACAAGAGGGGGACTCCTATAGACAGCTCTTTGTACTGGGCTTGAGCTAACTGAGCTGTTTTTTTTCTCTTAAAAAGATAAGAAAAAAAATTATATGCCTAGTTCCAAGCTAAATTTGGACCCCACTGCACTCCCTATGACCTCACTGGGAATATGATGGGGTCAAAATCTAGGGATGTAAACTTGAAAAAAATAACCCGTATTTTGTTTTCAAACTTTTATTTTGGAAAGAGAATATATTCCAGTATTTAATGGTAATTGGGTGCCCCAGTACCATCTTGTGATCCAGGTTTGGTTTTTTCCAGAATTCCAGAATTATTCTATTTCCATTTTCCCCTGTGGGTTGACTTTTGGGGGGATGGGGATGTAGTGGCTGTTTTTCAACCAAGTGGCACCAGGACTGCAGAAAAGCTAGTGCCGTGTGTTCACTAAAGACCCCCCAAATTTCAAGCAAATTGGACCAAGGAGTCCAAATCTACAGGCCCTGGAACAAGGCTCCCACAGCCATCCTACCTGCAGAGTTGTGAACTGGGGGGGGGGAATGGCCCTGACCCCACAAAGGAGGGAGGAAAGAAGAAGGGGCCAGCCAGAGTTGTAGCTCTGCCAAATCCTGCACCTGGCTTCTGTTAGCTGGGAGCCTCCATCCCCAGGCTGGTGAGACTCCTGCCAGCTGGGCTGTCTTCCCTAGGCTGGGCAACACCCAATTGGATTGGGTCAGAAGTGAGAAATGCCACTGCCTGGGAAATTCAGAGGGGGTAAAAAAACAAGACACCTGCTGCTGATTATAGTAAATGCCCAAGCACAAAAACAAATGAACGAACAAAAAACACAGATTTTTCAGGGCAGTGGGGTTTTTTTGCAATGCCTAAGAGTACTGATTTCATCTTCCGTTTTCTTGTGCAGCCCCACATTGGGACTGTGCTTGTGCAGGCTGGCTGTGGGACACTTTATTTCTAGCTCAGAAACTCCAAAGAGGAAGCACCCTGCCCTTTTTTGAAGCCAACACATGTGTGGGATTCCCACCCAACGTATCACATGCTTCATTGGCAGGTGCCCCCTTCCCTCAGTTCCCGCTAAGCTGCCACAAGGATAGGAAGCTTTCTAGCATCCTCCATTGATTTTCTTTTTTGTCATTGTGGATTAAAGAAGACTCGAGGACTCCTTTTGCACTCCTTCAGGAGACTATATCATGGGAGGCAAGCCCTATTGTCCAGGCTTTCCATATTTGTTGTCCTTGTGGTGTTCAAGACACTATTTAAAAAATGTGGGGAAAAAATGATGCACAGCAATGAACACAAACTCTGCCTTCTGTGCATAGGAGAGGTCCACAATGTTGGATCCTGTTCAGTTTGCCAGCGCCTTACCTGGAAGGCTCAGTCAGATAGGGCCTCTAGCTGAAAGATGCACAGTGGGACGGCCATGCCATCCTGGTTCTCCCACGCACCCTGTTGCTGCATCTAGCTTCTTTTGCTGGTT